GGTTCTACCCTTTATGTTGTTTTGTTTCTTATCTTTATTAATAATATTCCTGACATCTTACATCTAAAGCGCTAAAAAATTGGCAGAACAACAGCTGTTAAATTTAGGAAATAAACCTTTATTAGTTTTTATAAATAATTGCAACACTTAAATACTATGCATACTGATATTCATAACATGAGTTATTAACATTGGTAAGTATGAATGTAAATGTGTTCAATGTGTTCTTTTAAGTTACTACTTAAGGTACCACTTTTTAATCTGCATAGAAGATAAATACTCTGCTACTAAAAAAATTTTGTCAGCTTCTTTTATAAAAATATCAGTTCAAATATCTATCATACTGACTGCCATAGCAGTTTTAAGAGTGGTCTAGCGTATCTGTGTTCTTCTTTTTATTATTTATTATTTTGCACAATTCCACTTGGTTTTTGACTTTTTCTTTCTTATTAGTGGTCGAATTTTTTGTTTTCTGATTTTTAACTTATATAAATATTGCCACATTCAATAGTAGTAATTTAATGACTCATCACAATATTGGCACAATTTTTAAACCTCTTAATGAAGTTTTACCTGCATTACTCTTCCCTTCCCCTCGACACAAAAATGTTTTTTTTCTCCTATTAAGAGTCTTACTACTACAATACTCTTTCAGATTTTTACTTAACAACTCCATCAATCTGTTCTTAGTATCAATGTCGACCTACTAGATGGCTCTTACAATTGCCTGTATGGAACTATAGTGTTGCATACAACATAAAAAAATATAAAACTTACACAAATTATGAGGGCATCAAATAATGCTGGGCAATAGCTAGAAATCACAAAAAAACCGAAATACCCGTTTTTAAGAGCAGTGGAGGAACAAAACAAATTTTAAATGCAAAGCTAGACAATAAATGCAAATAGATCCTGCCCAACGAATAAGACTAGTTTTAAACATATTATAATTTAATAGATAAATTAACTTATAATCTAACTTATAGTGTACATAAAAGCCTAAAAAGGCTTTCCTGGCCAAATGTTCCCTGGATTTCACCAAACATAATTTTTTAAAATTTAATTTGCTTTTAATTTACTTTTTGCAAAAAGTAACAAAAGTAAGTTTAATACATCATATCTAAAATGATTTGAAAAGATGTGTTGTTTTTTACTGTACCACATTGATATTATAATCAATGGTAATATACAGGCATTTAAAAAAAATTAAAATAAAAAAAATTAAATGAATAGAAAAAAACTGTTTAAATTAATACTTAGCTAGGTGAACTTCATAAAGTCATTTTATATTACTTTATTACATATAAGTTACTGAGGATTATTATTCATTCTTTTAAAACCATATATGAAATGGAAGTATGATTTTTAGATTATTTGAATATTTAAAAAGTAGTTATTTCTTAAAATAAACAATATTTTAGTTTGTATTACAATTTTCAAATGAAACATATAACACAACTACTTACTTTTAGAAATAATATAATAATACTACTAAAAATTAGTTACAAGTAATTTCCAAAAATATACTTAAAACAAAACATTCTGAGACCAAGGCTATTGTATAAACACTTTGTCTAAAACTAAAGCAGAGACCATGAAGTTTAAATAAAATATAATAATATCTAATAACATAACGTAAAATAAAAATAAAATATAATAGTACGTTAGTTTTATAGTTAAAAATAAAAGTTTTACTTTTGCTAATAATTTTTTATAAATAAAAAATAAGTTATAAGCAAAAACAGTATTTAGCCAGATTGAACAAGCAACTAGATAAGATATCTGCAAAAATTAATTGCGGGAATGAAATACCCATACTCAAAATTTTTTTTAGCGAATTCTAGGTATATTGCGAGTGCAAGCAATAAATGTGATCTGTGAAGATCATCATACATTCATTACTTAATTAGAATCAGATATAAATTACATTGCCAATATTTTTTTATTGTATTTTTTCAATATTATGATATGTTTATATTCTCATGAATCAGTTAGGGCTAGGGATGGCAAAAATCCGGAAATCATCACTCCCGGGATTTCGGGATTGAGAAATTTGTCCCCGGGAAATCCCGGGATTGAATTGAAAAAAACGCAAATGCATTTGAATACTTTTTAAGCACTTCTTAAACACTTAAAAATGATTAATTTAAGGATGAGTTATAAGAAATATAAGTATTTTATGAAACAATACCTTAAAATGGTAACACAGTATAAATAAAAATAAAAATTTAAAAATAATATAAATAAAAAATACTTTCATAAATAATTTTTTTTAATAAAATTTTTTAAGAATAAAATAAATTTAATAAAATAAATAAAAAATAAAGAAAATAAAATAAAGAATATAGAAATAAAGATAATAAAATAAAATAATAAAAATAAAGAAAATAAAATAAAATAAATAAAATAAAAAATAAAATAAAGAAAAAAAAAAATAAATTTTTTAGAATAAAATAAATTTTTCATACATAATAAATAATTAAAATATTTTTTTTCATACATAATAATAACTAAAAAATACTTTCATAAATCACACATTTGAAAATTAAAATGAATGGATATAAAACTGGAATTAAAATCGCGCATACTTTTGGAAGCAGAAAATTCAAAATGAAATTAATGTATACCTTCTATTAAAAACTCTTTCTATTTTTACCAGCAAGCGCTTAAACTTTATCTATTTTTATAATACACTAGTTTTAATATAATACTATATATTATATATAGTATAATATTAAAACTAGTATATTATTAAAAATAACAAAATTATAAGCGTTTGTTTGTGGAAAGAGCAAGAGTTTTATATACATATATATATATATATATATATATATATATATATATATATATATATATATATATATATATATATATATATATATATATAATATATATATATATATATATATATATATATATATATATATATATATATATAAATATATATATATATATATATATATATATATATATATATATATATATATATATATATATATATATATATATATATATATAAATATATATATATATATATATATATATATATATATAAATATAAATATAAATATATATATATATATATATATATATATTATATATATATATATATATATATATATGTATATATATATATATATATATATATATATATATATATATATATATATATATATATATATATATATATATATATATATATATATATATAAACTAGATGGTTAAGAATATTTGAAGCATTTACAAACAGTCACAGTAAAAGGATTAGGCTTAATTGAATGACGATTAACACAAAAATAAGTTTAAGTAGAGACGCTAGCTCTTTAGAGCAGTGCCTGTTAGTATTTGTAGAAAAAAGAAAGAAAAGCAGTCTTGCAACATGCGTTTTCGTACCCTGTCTATAAAAGAAAGGGTATCATTGAAAGATTTGCCCCAGATATGGCAACAGTGCTCCATACAAGGACGTATTGAAATCATTTTGTTTTCCTGATTTATATAATTTGCAATCTTTTAAGTAATCTGTTAATCGTGACCTTACTCTATAAACTTCATCTTTCTCCTCCATTAACTTCGAAATCTAATGGTGGTTGCTCGCTGCCTATTTGATAATATGAGGATGTTTGAAAAAAAATTTCTCCATTGTTAACTACTTTGCACTACTCCACCTATTTTGTCATCTTATCTTAATTAGCAGTTGACAAACAATTTTTAACTTTTATATAAAAGTATTATTATTAACAAGTATGCATTATGTAAACTGACAAAAAATAAACAACTTTAATGTTTTCTGTATTTATTTGTTAATCATTTTATACAATTCAAAAAATTTTAAAAGTGTTTTTTTTAGGATCACTTTTTGACCTCTTCAAAGTTTTAATTCCGAATTTTATTATTGCTGTTGGTCTTATTGTCTCCTTAGTTGTTGCATTATTTCTGCTTCCAAAAAACAAACGGTAAATATCTTTTTATAATATTGAAGTTTTTCTATCTTAATCTTTTTTTTTAATTAGTTAATTTACTCATTATGAAAATATATCTAAAAGACTATTTTGTAATGAAGAAAAATAGCTAAGCTAAAATTTAAAATTTTTTGAAAACAATTTTTTTCAAATTTTTGCAAAAATCTAGATCTTTTAGATCTAGATTAAAAAAAATAGTTTATAAAATTGTATTTTTTTGAGAAAGCAAATTTTTAATGTTATGAGAAAAAACATTAAGTGTTAAAAAAATATTAAAAAGCATATTATTAAATAATATTTTAACATTAATTAGAAAGTTACACATTTATGATATAGAATATAAGTTGCATACCTCATATTAGTTAATGGCTTTACAAAAAAAAGCAATACCTCTGTTCCACTAGCTTAGTAAACTGTTTTTGTATTTTTCTTATTATTTTTTTACTGAAAATATTATGCACTTTTTAAATATTTAAACAGTTCTTTGTGTATAAAAATATTTACATTGAGCTTATTGATTTTTCAAAACAAAATAATGATTTTTTATAAATATTATAGTAACACACTCGACGATCAAGAAATCCCTATTGATAATGTTAGCCTACCATGCATAGAGAACACTGATATAGTTAACGACACAAAGACATTTGAAAAAGATATTCTACTAAAAAAAAAAAGACACTTAATTACAAGTTATTATCAAAAGTTTAAAGCATCAAAAGTGGGGGTGTTAATGTCGTAAGAATTTTGTTGATATGTTTTTATTTATTTTTTATTGAACTTCGATCATTTTAACCTTTTATTGTTTTTATAAGTAACAATATTTTTTTTTTATAAGTAACAAAGATTTTCTTATTTCTGCAATGGTTTACTTTGTGTACTCCATATATACAGTTGGTTTTGAAGAATTGTTTCCAGTATATGCTGCAACCTCAATAGAATACAGTAAGTATTATTATACTAGTTTTTAGCTATCTACAAGCTATTTATACATACTAATATGTCTTTTTTAGATGGTCTGGGTATGAGTCCATCTAATATTGGTTTGTTTTATATGGTGTCTGGATTTGCTGCCATCATGACTCAGTTTCTAATCACAAACAAAGTGCTTTTTTATTTTTAGTTTTATGGAATTTTATTGTTTTTTACAACTTACAGAATCACAAACTTAAAAAAAATATTTCACTTTAGCTTATCAATAAATATGGAGCTAAAAAGGTACTTAAATATAGATTTTAAAAATAAATTATATTATGGCTTAAAAATAATAATAAATCTAATTAACAAAGTCAATGCGTATATATATATATATATATATATATATATATATATATATATATATATATATATATATATATATATATATATATATATATATTTTTAACTGAATTTTTAGATATTTTGTTATTCCATATTTATTTTTGCTTTGTTTGCTGTATATTATCCAACAAATGGCTTAATTAAAAATAGGTAGTTGCTTTGGATACATTTTGCTTTTTTTGAGTGTTTTTTTTTTCATTTATTTTTTTTTTATGTCAAGGTTTTTTTGTTTGTATCAAATCAATTTTGTTTAAAATGTAGAAAACTAATAAATTAAGTTTACTAAAGCTAACGTTTTTTTTTACTCAATAGAGCATTGTCAAAAGTTCAGTAGAGTAGAATCAGTTCAATATATACAACCAGTTTATGTAATTGTTTAGACTAGTTGAATACAATAAGTTAATCTAGGTTAGATTACAAATTATTTAATAACCCACTACCAAGTTTAAATACTCATTTGGGTTACTCTGGAAAGTTTTCTTTTTACATACAAAAATTTTATTTAAAATCAAAAAGTTTCAAAACTTTGTCTTTTTTTTGTGTGGGAAAAACAAGGTCAAGGCTATTTTTATTACATTTAAGTATTGCAAAATAGAGCAGAACAATATATTAACTCTCATTTTGTATAGTTTTTATCTATTTTGTGCCATATTTTTAATAAAATAGTTACAATTGTGTTATTTTTAAATGTATTTTATAAACTTGTCGAATTTTGCAATGTTTCTAAAATACATTTTAGAAATTTTTTGTCAAAAATTTTTAAAATGTATTTTAGAAACATTGCGAAAGTACTCTTTTCGTCATGCAATATCGTATAAATTTAACATTTATAAAGGTTTTATATTTAGTTACTGTAGTTTATGGGATTTTAATGTCATAGTATCTTATATAATAATTTTACTAAATACTATTACTCAGACTTGCTTATAGAATTAAAAACAAATATAATAGCTAGACATCAAAACAAAGATATGCTGGACAATTGAGTAATTTGCCTGTTAGTGACCTTGCAACATATAATCAAACAATTAAATATGTAAAATGTTTTTGCAAAATCCTAAAATAAAACATCAATCGAAAAAACTTCACCATACATTTGCGTAATTAAATCTAATGTTTCAAGTTTTTTATACAACTTTTGTTAGTACCGAAATCTTGTTGCTTTTCAAACAATAAATTTTTTCAATGAGATACTCAATCATCTGATCTTTAATAATTTGTTCATTAATTTTACAAACAGTTGATGTTAATGAAATTGGTATAAATTGGTAGAATTTAATATATTGAACTTCTCGAATAAAGGAATAATGTTTGCACATAATTATAATTTTTGAACATTGCCTCTTATGAATGATTTATCAAATAGTAATGCTAAAGGACTTGACAAAGATTTTGAACATTCTTTTAATACTTTAAGATGAACATTATCAGATCAAATAAAATCAAAAAAATAGTATTTACAAGCAAAATGATTCTCCTGTCATAGTTTAAAAAGCAAGTTAAGAGTTTTCAAGGCTTTGGAATAATGTTAATCCAAGTCTTCGATCAATAAAGGCGAAACCTCTAAGAAATAGGATGTATAAAACATTAAAAATGTAATTGCAGCTCAACGATCTTATATTTCAAAACATAAAATTAGTGTTTGTTGGTTGAAGAAAAAACTTTTAGAGTTATTTAATAAATTAGCATACAGATGTGTTTATCTTCAAATAAATAGTGAAAATAAGTTGGAAGTTAATTATGCATTTTAAAGATCCATAATATTTAAAAATGTGTCTTTTTTCCACTAAACTTTAATTAAAAATACTCTTTTTAAATTTAAATTTCTAAATTTAAGGTTCAAAACTTTACCAATAATCATATTTTAAGTTTAAGGTTCCAGTTTTAAAAAGATAGAATAAATACAAGGCTGCAAAGATTGTAAGTAAAGTGTCTAATAAGAAGATTGTTAAATGATAACACAGCAGTTACTCTTTGTATTGTGTAAGTGAAACATATGTTTTGAAAATAATAACAAATATAACTTCAAATCAGTGTTATATAAGTAAAATCGATGATATGTAAATAAAATACATAGGTGATAATATAATGAGAAAGATCATGAATACTTAACAAAAGCAGTGTGAAAAATTTACACTGATATAGCTACAATTGTCATATTTATCAGTTTGGATAGTGATATTGGATAGATAACGAGTGTTTTTTAGAAGTTTTACAATTCAAATTCATTAAAGTAGTTAGCGTAATAGTATATTTTATTTAAAATAATAGAATATATATATATATATATATATATATATATATATATATATATATATATATATATATATATATATATATATATATATGTATATATATATATATATATATATATATATATATATATATATATATATATATATATATATATATATATATATATATATATACATATATTTTATTATTTCAATTAAAATATACTATTATGCTAACTACTTCAATGAATATCAATTAGAAAACTTATATATATATATATATATATATATATATATATATATATATATATATATATATATATATATATATATATATATATATATATATATATATATATATATATATATATATATATATATATATATATATATATATATATATATATATATATATATATATATATATATATATATATATATATATATATATATATATATATATATATATATATATATATATATATATATATATATATATATATATATATAAATATATATATACACTGCTTTTTTTCTACTAGAACGCACCGGGACGGCGTTCCAGAATCTTTTTTTGATAAACTAACTTTTTTTTTGATTATTTAGACTTTATTTTCTCTGGAATTAGATCATTTTTAAATATATTTAAAATTGTTTAAACTAAAAATGCAAATAATTAAGATTAAGTAAAACATTTTTTGCAGATTTAAAAATACTACAGCGCTCCAATTCAGAATCTATTGTTTCTTAGTCGTAAGTAAAAACTAAATTTGCTTGAGAAGAACTAAGTTTCTTCATTTCTTAATAAGCATTAGTTTTCTTGACGCCAATTTCTTTGTTTGTCTGAAAATCAATCTCACAACCATGGGCCTTTTTAAGTATAATGAGTTTACTGCTATTAGTATTTTAAATTCAAAATTATAACTTAATTTATTACAATCTCATTTTAAAAGTGTTAAAAAATATAAATTAAGCAATATAATTAAAAATTTATTATGAAAAAAAAAGCTACTCGGTGGACTCCCCCGGTTTAGAAAAAAATCAAATTAAGTGCAGAGGAAATCAAAATTACAACATCTGATCCATTTTCTGCTTGCAATTACACTAATTTTAGCTCGCCAAGTTGTTGGACTTAAGAGCAAAAAACAGAGTTTTATTCCAAAAACAAGTGACTTTGTTTTCGACAAAAAAGCTAAGATGCACCACCTGCAAAATTGGAATTATTAGTAGGCACTTATTAGGGACCATTAGGAAGATCTTAAGTATTAACAGGTTCAAATAATTTCTTGATTAGCTTTACATCGTGTATCATGCTTCCCTCAAAAATAGCAGAGAGTCACATTTAGTTCATTTGGTACACGCTCTACATACTATCTCCATTTCCTCAAGTGAATGCAAACGTGGATTTTCACAGATGAATCTGATCATCACACCAATAAAGAATTCATTAATGAAAAAAATATTTTCAACGTTGTTATTCATTAAATTGATGAGACCACCGTTAACAAGCTTCGATTTTTCAAAGTGCGTTGGTTTGTAGTTATTTAGCGAAAGGTATTCAGCAGTAGACACTAACAACAAAAAAAGGAGACGAGCGGAAAATTTCTAACAAAAATTGGAAAAAACAATGGGATTTGTAATAAAAGTTTCTACCTTTGTAAAGTTTGTATTTTGTACACAGTGACGTATCCTATTATCCTCAACCCCTTCCCCCCAAAAAACAAAAAAACAAAAACAAAAACAAAAACAAAAAAATTTTCATTATTTTGAAAAAAAAAAAAGCTTTTTCATTGGAAAATTGCTACATTTATTTGTTCCCGCTTTATTGGGTATGAATTGAGTTGCTAATTTTTCTCTCGTCTTTAATATATAGATACATTTAAAGAAAAACACTGATGAGTAAATTAAGTTTTCTTAAAAATCACTTAATCATTTTTAATGATTTTTTTTATGTAATGATAGGTACATAATTAGTTTTTTTGTGAGTGGGTGTACCCAGGAAAAAAAGTTATAGACTTTTCTATAAACTTTTGAAACATATGGCCTATAGAAATTCTATAGAATTTTATTAAATTTTTATAGAATTTCTGTTAACTTTTATAAAACTTTCTATAGAAATTATTTTTTCTACTTTTTTTTTTTATAGAAAAAAAGTTTTATAGCAATTTCTATAGAAACTAATAGACATTCTATAGAAGTTCTATAGAGTTTCTATAGGCCATATGTTTTAAAAGTTTATAGAAAATTATATAGAACTTTTTTTCCTGGGTAGTTTTGTTAACTTCACATTAGTTTTTGCAACGTAGAGTAAAGAGTCTCAAAATGGATATAAAGTTTTAAACTTCACATAGAAGATTCATCGTTCTCATATTCCAAAATCAAATTTTGGAACTGTTATGAAATTCATAAGGAAAATAAAACTATAAAAAGAATATCGGCAAGTTGTGGAAAATCAAGATTTATTTCCAAAAAGAAGACAAAAGCAATAGTTGACTACATTTAACAAAATCTTACCGAGTCACAACAAGATTTAGCAAGGTTTAAATGCAATAGATCATATGTTCAAAGAGTATTCAAGAAGCAAAATTTAAAAGATTGCTTGATGGAGCAATCAAGGCTTGATGGAGCAATCGAGGCAACTGGATTAGCTAAAAGTTGTTTAAACTAGTTACGAAAAAAGTTTTCTGTATTTTAGAAGACAATGAAACTTACTATAAAAAAGATCACTCCAGGTAATCAATATTATTATCAGTCAAAACGTTATAAAGCTTCTGATAAATTTAATTATATGCGAGTTGAAAAATTTTCTCCCAAGATCCTTGTATTGCAGGCTATTTGCAGTAGTGGTTTTAAAAGCTCTCTTTTCATAACAAATCATTCTTTGAATTCAGATCTACATGTGACTGAATTCTTGAAAAAACAACTTCTTCATTTAATTACAAAGCAATAACAACAAACTTTATTCTGGCCAGATCTGGTATCAATCCACTATTGCAAAACAGTAATGCAGCGGTTTAAGAAAAATAAAGTCAATTTTCTTCCAAATGATGCTAACCTACCAAACTGTCCTTAGCAACGAGTGACCGAATCTTACTGGGCTTTTGTGAAGAGAATATTGAAGAAAAGAGGCAAATATGCAAATACTGTTAAAAATTTTTGCGATTTATGGATTAATGCTACAAAAAGATTGACGCAAAGTAAAATTGTGGAGATGATGATGGGTACTTTACAAAAAGTAAATTAATTGCATGTCATAAAGTTAAGGGTTAATTTATTTTTTGTTGAAATAAAAAATAACTATGTAAGCATTACTATAAAAAAAACCACTACAATTGATAAGTGGTGTTTAAAAAAACTCAATTCAAATTTTTCCAAATTTCAAATGATTACGGTGAAAATTATCTTGTTGTAAATAATTCAAATTAAGCTGATGATTTAGATTCTATAAATTATAATAAAGTAAAATCTACTTTATCTGAAAACTTAAGGTTTGCAATAACTGTTGAATTTGAACCCAAACCAAACTAATTTTTTTATTGACAATAATTATTGCAATTTTGTTGTAGCATAGTATTTTAACAAACATTATCATGGTCCCTGTTCAAGCAAACACTTTTTTCTTAATTAAATTGATTCATTGATTAAAATTTTATTAATTTTTATCATTAAAAATTTATCAGTTTTTCATCAAAGATTGAGAACTTTTTGGGCTGCTATTGTTTCGCAGTGGAGAACATTAAAGTTCCACCACTGATATGGAACCATCAGGCCGTAAGAGAAGGAAGAAATCTATTTTATAAGTGCAAGGGAGTGCTAGATAAATTATAATATTTGGACAGATGCCCAGTATTGAGAGGTGGTGTTAAAGAGGGAAGTCTTATTCACTAGTTAAGTTAGAGTTAAGTAAGTGTTCTTTAAGTTAGGTTTAAGTAAGTGTTGTTTCAGTGTTCTGTAAGTTTGTGTTATTTATTGTGCTTTGTGTTTGTAGTGTTCTAAATGTTCAAGTTTTATATGTGAATTATTGTCTTTATTTGTATGCATCTGTATTTTCGTAAATACTTTGATTTTCCGTCTTATTTAGTTTTGATGTTATTATGTTCTTTGTGATCGTAATCTTTGATAAAAGTATTTTGTAAGATATGTTTTAACATATGTTCATAGAATATATGAGAGTATGGGGTTTGTTGCTATTTTTGTAAGAACTATGTACGGAGTGCAGTACAATTATAGCAACACAGTTTGGCTCAGTGGTGTTGGTTTGGGGCAGTATGATGCTTGTTAGGTAAACCAATAAGTTTCTTAAATTATTTATAGAGAGGCTTATGTATATCTAGAATATTATATATATCGTGTATAATATATCCGATATGCATAGTATGTATGCTATAAAGCTATAGTGGTTAACGTCGTAAATTGGAAGTACTAAATTAGAAGTAAATTAGTAGTACAAATCATTGTAATATCAAAGTAAAACAAGCCGAGGGGAAGGTGCCACGCGAGTGGAGTTCGGGGTTGAGGTCATCATAATGGTCAATAAAGATGTGGCATGTGACAAACCTTCATCTCGTCAGGGCCATGTCGGAATGTCTAAGCTTGTTTCGAAGAAGTTAAAGTACTAAAACAACTCCATGGCAAATTTTTTTTTTTTTCTGCTTTTTTTAACTGCTTACATATATGGTTAATCCCTTATTTAAATTGCTTGGAACATTGATGAAAGTAAATAAAAAAGTAATTTCAAAAAGTACTACTACTGCTACTACTACTACTAGTACTACTACTACTACTACTAGTACTACTACTACTACTACTACTACTACTACTACTACTACTACTACTACTACTACTACTACTACTACTACTACTACTACTACTACTACTACTACTACTATTTTTAAATTTTGAAATAGACAAATGGTATATGCAAATATTGAAATAGACATGCTATATGCAATTGCAGATGAAAAAATGTAATGCTTGCCCTACTAGTAATTTAGGAATTACCATTGCTGCACATATTCTTCAACTATGCATTAACAGTGCTTTTAATGTTTACCATCAAGTTAAAAAACTTACTTGTTTGATACCCAAAGTGCAGATTTTTTTAATTAGTTTTTTCTGTAGGTCTTTAGGTCTTTAATATTTAAAAAAATATAGAAATGAACAGGAACTTTGATAATCTAATCAGCCACTTGGTATTGTAATCAGGTATAGCAGCTTATTCAAACTTTAATGTCATGTAAATATTTTTGAGCAACATCAATGTCCCTTAAATGAGAGTCATAGTTCCTTATGATAGTGTTTCTAGAAAAGAGAAAGTGATGCAACCTTTTGACAATGGGAGAAAGACTCAAGTTTGGCAAATTAAGCAGTTTCAACTACATTTACAATGTGTTTTTGGACCTTGCGTAAAAAAAAAGAAGTTTATTTAAAAAACTAGTATTCCAGAAGGTACGAGTATGTGATTTGTAGAGATTAAGAATGGAATCTGGAGTATTATTATGGCGATTACAATAAAGAGAAGCAATCTTATCAGATGCTAACTTGCAATGTATTCTATACATGGTTCCCATTAAAGGTTTTTAGTGAATGATTATCTAAGGAGGCATAAAGAAGAGGATTTAATGAGAGGCTTGTCATTCATTAATATAGGAATGGTGACAGTATTGTAAAAGTGGTTTGTAGTTACATAACTGAGTTTTGTTGGACTTAAAATCCACAAGCTACTGCATACCTCAAGCTGTTACAGAATAGAGATCAGATTCAAAATTAACTACTTGTTCTAAGAAACTGAAAAAACCGGAATTTTTGTCAAGACAGGAGTATAAAGTTAAGTTTATAGAAAACATAGCCACTCTAGACGTAAGGTTGTAAGGAAGATCATTAATGTAAATAAGAAACAATAAAAGACCTTTTATAAGATAACTTGCTTATTTAGATGACTTTAGATAACTTGCTTATTTAAATAACTTGCTTTTATAAGATAACTTGGTATTTAGAACGTTTATGTGGATATCATTATGGGTAACTCAATGTTTTACACGATCAATGTTTAGTACTGGAGTGCTATGTGTTAATATGTTCCTGAACAACTCAGTAGATTCTCATCAACGCGGATTAGCTAATGGAATAGGTTTATCCCTTGCTTCAGTAGGAAGGTAAGTGGGTTGTACAATTTCTGTTTTTAATATAAACACATAAAACAATTTTTTTAAATTAAAAACAAGGCTCTACTTTTCTTTAGAGATTTTTTGATAAAATTTTTTTAATCTTCATGTATATCTAAGGCATTTATTTTTCAGATTGACATGTGATAAAACCGTTAAAAGCTAGTTAAAAGCTGCATCTATTTATTTTTTGACATTTTTTTAAAACTGTGAAGGGTTTAAAAACTAAAATGTATATATATATATATATATATATATATATATACATATATATATATATATATATATATATATATATATATATATATATATATATATATATATATATATATATATATATATATATATATATGTATATATATATATATATGTATATATATATATATATATGTATATATATATATATATATATATATATATATATATATATATATATATATATATATATATATATATATATATACATAAATATAATATATATATACAAGGCCGGAGCGATAGGGGGTGCACCCCCCCCCCCACATCAATGATTTTTAGTCGGCAAATTGGACTCTTAGTTGGCAACAATATATATATATATATATATATATATATATATATATATATATATATATATATATATATATATATATATATATATATATATATATATATATATATATATATATATATATATATATATATATATATATATATATATATATACATATATATATATATATATATATATATATATATATATATATATATATATATATATATATATATATATATATATATATATATAAATATATATATATATAAATATATGTATCTACTATAGCATATTTATATACGCGCAATTGCTCACATTTTTGCTATCCTAAATTAAGTGAACGTTTTTAAAAAACAATGAGGGAAAACGAAGAATAATGAATGAAAAGGTTGCTGACCCATACCAAACCCTTAGTCGATGTAGCAGCACTCCACTGCGAGTCCGGCTATTTGTCAGTCGATGTATGTACTGAAGCCCCCGGAAGCAGACTATTTGACGTTAAGTAAGTATGACATCATCATGCTCATCTAACTCAGCAGTATAAGATATACGTGATCTGATAATATGACACTTTGAACAAAACGAAATCTTCTTTGCGAATGCATCACAGACATAAGTAAAATATTGACCCCACAAATATATATTTTATCTTTTCAACAGCTTTATCATAAATAACATCCAGCTACTAAATCAAACAAAGGTTAACCTAATACTTTCAGAAAATAAAAGTACTAACATAAATGACACTAAAAATTACAAATTTTTTAATGTCATTTAGGCTGGGGATTGGACCAATCCCCCACTGCCTGTTTTCACAGTTTGGTTGTTACAATTTCGTCCATCGAAACTACCACCATTTTAGTTTGTCACAATTTGATTTGTCATACCACCATATAGCCATTTCCGTTTTTTTATCAAGAAAGATTTAGATTTTTATTTGTAAGTCATGTCAATTATAATCTAACGCTTATTCTTGACAATCATTAGATATTTCTGTCTATACAAATATGGACAACACACTTTGTTTACTAGCATAGATAGGTAAGTAAATTTCTACTTTTTGAATATCTTAGTACAATGCTTTATACTCCTCTGCCTAACTGTCATATAAAGACTACCCCTCCTCTGCCTTCGGCCCGCAAAGACAAGTTCAGCTCATTAAATAGCATCATATCCCGCTTCGACAGACAAAGAGTAAAAGAGTTTAGGAAAAACAAAGTAAATACGAGTGAAAGTTAGAAGTAGTCGAATTAAAAAGATAGCATAGAAGAAGCGGTCAGACATTGCACTAGATTTTAGAATATACAATAATAAGTACAATAAAGCTTTTTTCATTACGTTTAATAATTTCTGAACTTTCTGAATAAATCTGAAATTCTTGCGCTTTGTAATCTCATTTTAAAACAAAACTTCTTCTTTATTTTTATTTTAACTTGTTGCAGAGTATTTTAATTTTATAAACCAATATTTTGATAAATAGTCTCAACAAATTTCTTTAATAAATTATCAAACTAATTTATTAAAGTGCTTTAAGGAAAAACGATTTTTTTCAGTTATAGAAAAAAGTTCAAAAATAAAAATTGGGGTTTTTAATTCGTTTTTTACGGTTTCTGTCTCTTGACAATCTGCTAAATAAAGTGGCTTCAAAAAAAAAAAAAAAAAAAGCCAAAAGTAAAATAATTCAAATAAAAACCTCTAAAAATAAGTAGTGAGGGATATTGTATAAAACTATTTAGGTCCATTGGTGCTGCAAGTTTTGGCACTGCCTATTCGTGGTCTTTGAAAAATGTGAAAGTAAACAAAGATCGTGGTTTCCCGCTGAATGAATATTTTGCGTTCATGCTCATTTCTGTTTTTGCGATGTTTTTTCTCGTTTTCATAACCCGTCTACCAATCAGATTAAATAAAAAGAAGTGTAAATAGTTTAAAAGAAACAAATACAGATATTTATTTTGTATTAAAATAATTTTATGCAATAATAAAAAAAGTAAATACTGAAAGCGATTTTTTTGTTTTTTATTTCATGAACTGGTATGCTTTGCTCCCAATCAATTATCAACATCTTGTTATAAAACGGTTCATAACAAATTGAGATCTAAAGGGATCTCAAAATGTTTTTTAAATTGCTTTTAAAACACTGACAATTTTTTTTTAAATAAACTTTAAAAGATAAATATATCCATTTTTTAAACAAACAAATGGCTTGGTGATCCTGACACCTTGACGGTCTTATCCCAACCAGCACATTAAGGTGTAAATGTGCATTCAAAACTTGTTTGAATACGCATTATTCTAGTTGGTATGTTAGCCATTTTATCGTGTCAAACACACATTAAAAACACGCTTCCAATGCGTTTAAAAACGAGTAAGCAGTGCGCATCCTACTGAGTATCAAACTCGCATTTGAAACTCTTGAATATACTGTATTTAGATATATTTCAACACAGTATTTTCTTGGCACTAAATGCGCATTTAAAACTTTTTAAAGTACGTGTTATTCACAAATATATATTAGCCATTTTACCGAGTAGAACAAGTACCAAAAATACTTTTTAAACGAGTACATTATTGGACACATAACACGTGTCTGAAACGTGTTTTTATTATATGTATATACAAACGCGCACACGCATCGGCTTTAAAAATAATATGAAAAAACTAAAATTTGAAAGTTTTATTAAATTAATTTGAAGTGTTCAATATGCACATCTATATTATAGTTTTTATAATATAATAAAAACACACGTTATGTTTATTTTACAATAACAAAATAGCACCAAAATTAGTTGTATACCAATGTACACTAGTAGAGGGTTTACTTACCTTGTATTATATAAATATATTATTTCTAACAATTTCTTACAATTACTGTGTATACAACTAAAAATACGCTATACAACATTATATTCAAAAACTACATTATTAGGCAAACAATTGAAACCCATTTTATTGAAAGATTTTACTGCATTTGCTTTTGGTGGTTCATCATAAATAAGGACGATTTCGAAGAAAAACAAAACTTCTGATGTTTTTCGATAGTTCTTCCAAATTTAAAAAATCTATATCAGAAAGAAAGAAATTAATTTAACCAAAGCAAAAGTTCTTAATTAAATCTGAATGCATGCAGCCAGTTTAAAGTAGGAAACATACCACATCCACAAAAATATTAAGCTTCAATTTAGTTAGTTTTACCTTTCTGAATGTTTTGTCGTTAAAATTCCTTTCATCGCCATCTTTAACAAAACAAGCAACAAAAAACTTTATATTTTGTATAAGACTATATAACTGCGTTTACCTTTGGTGGTGCATCATTCATCAGAAAGACGCTTTCGGAGAAAAACAAAACTTTTGATGTTTTTCGATAGTTTTTCCAAGTTAGTTTTACCTTTCTGAATTCTTTGTTACTCGTTGTGCCTTCATCCTTCAACTAAAAATCTATATGAAAAATATTTTTTAAACATAAAATTTGGTAAAAAATTAGCATTAATCTTCAAAAATATTTTGAAGAAATTATGAAAAAGAAGTAATCTAATTTTTGAACATGCTGCTTTGAAAAATACTTGGCTTGTAGTTGGAGGTTGTTTTAACCTTGTTGCAGGAAGGAAAGTCGTCAAGTACAGCCTGCCAATACCTAAAAAATAAAAAATTACTCTGTCCTATTAGTTTATCTTACATGCTCTATTTTCATTTAACTTGTAAATTCTAATTTATAAATCTACACATTACTGCTATTTGCATAGCTTGTTTAACAGCCAAGTTTTAGGTATTTCGTTGTGGATTAAATAGCTAACCTTTAGCTTAACTCTTATATAATAACTCTTATATAATAACTTAAACTTAGACTTTTATATAAACCTAGCGTAAACCAATATAACTACTATAAACATTGACACCTTAATTGATTCAAAATAAATAAAAAACATAACATTAAGAGAGGTGTCATTTTATTGATATTTTTATAGCTGGTAATATTTATCAAAACTAATAGAAATAAATTCATTTTATATTTTAAATATGCTATCTTTTTCATGAAGGTAATGTTAAAATATCTTGAAATGATATAAATAAAATCCAAATCTAAAAAAATATGTTGAATAATATCAATAAAAATAATTTCTGAAATCAAGATATAATCAAAATACAAAAGGATTTTCAGAATTAAAATGAAACTATCATTGTCATCAGCAAAAAATTTGTTGCTTATACATTCTTTTTGATATTTTTCAGCACAAATTTTTAAATAAAAAGCCATACAACGGGCTTTGCATGCCACATCTATTGCAGTATCAATTTTGCAAGTCATTATATCTGTGGTACTTTTGTGGTACCTTTGTGGTATTTGAAATTCACAATACTTGCTTGGATCATGGCGTTACTTAGATAACCTTAACCTAAATATTAGGGTTTTTAATAATCTGATATCTTGTATCAGATTTCTATAACCTCATAAAAAGTATATCTGATACCTTGTACTAGATGTTTATCAACTTTGAAAAACTAACTACAAACTATTTTTGTTTTTGAACATGAAATATAAACGGATATTATTGAATACAAATAAGAGAAACACAGTTTTTTAAGATATAACATTTTGATGAAAAATTAATATAAAACATTTAAATCTGTAAAAATAGAAAATTTATGAACACTTCAGTTTATTACTTATATGATGTAGCATTATATTCAAATAGTCTGCTTGAATACGCTATATTGTATATTGAAGTATATATATATATAAGAAGCCAATTCTCTCTGATTGCTTAGAGAGGGCATTTGAGCTTAAAAAGTATCTCACTTCTGCTACAGCATAGGGCTAACAGTGGCTGGTGAACTTTAACTCAGGTAAAACTCAATTTTTTCAACCAATCGTTATCGCAATAATTTAGATCTTCCTATATTTATGAACGGTAATGTACTTGATGAGTCATCTACCCTTCATCTTCTAGGATTAAATCTTACTTCGGATCTTTCTTGGAAACCATATATTAAATCCGTAGCAAAATTAGCATCTGCTAAAGTTGCATCTCTTTATCGAGCTCAACACTTTCTTACTCTGAATTCTTTTCTTTATCTCTGTAAATCTCAAATCCGACCTTGTATGGAATACTGTTCATACCTGGGGTGGATCTTCGAATGGTGCTTTTTCTCTTTTATACAATGCCTAAAAAAAAAAGGGCATCATTAAGTCTCATCATTTTTCTGTTACTGTTCCTAAGTGCTTTAAAAATTCTTATTCGTCTAGTTTTTTTCCTCGAACATCAGTTCTTTCGAATTTGCCTCCTTCACCTTACTTTCCTGATTCATATAATTTGCAATCTTTTAAGTTGTCTGTCAATCGTTATCTTGCTCTACAATCTTCATCTTTTCTCTTCCAGTAACTTCCAACACTAATTAGTGGTTGCTTGCAATATTGTTGAAAGCCAAGATGTTTAAAAAAAAAATTGAATTATAAATCTTAGCATACTTTTTTCGTAGCTGCTTATACTTTTTATTCACAGTAGTTCCAGTCTTTTACATTCTTGAAAAGTCTTTCAATAATAAAACTGTTGTAATCAATAATAAACTTCAATAACATAAATAAATAATAATTTAATATTAGCTTTATAATAAGTTGATAATATTAAACCAAGTACAAAATTTATTCTTCATAAAAATGAGGTACAAAACAAAAAAAAAATTACAAAAAAAACGCTAAATAAAATCCAAACAATTTAATAAACATAACTTTGAAATTCATGAATACGAAATAAACTATAGAAAAAAAAATACAAAACAAATTTATTTGTGGATAACACAATGATTTGTGGATAATACAACATTGTAGAACATAAACTTACTTCATAAAATGATATGATTGCATTTCTCGTTTAAACAGAAACAACACTGATGTAGCCATTTACACGTTGAAGTTAAGATAATAGTTAACATTTTTCATAGAGTTTTATATATATATATATATATATATATATATATATATATATATATATATATATATATATATATATATATATATATATATATATATATATATATATATATATATATATATATATATAAATATATATATACATATATATATATATATATATATATATATATATATATATATATATATATATATATATATATATATATATATATATATATATATATATATACACATATATACTACTTATACCTAATAAATATTATCTTTACAAAGTATATTTTATAAACTATTAAATAAAGAAAAAAAATTTTAATGTCAAATGACAAATAAATAAAAAACTTTATAATATTTACATTTTAACATACAAGATAAAGTCTTAAAAAATAGTTTTTTTTTTTAATCAAGCAATAATTTTTTATTGGCTGCCAATTTTCTAAGAATTTGTCAAAAAGTAAAATAAAAACATGAAAGATAAACTTTTACTTATCTTTTACTTCATTTATAAAAATTTATGCAAATTGTCCTTGGTGTGTTAGGTTCATATTTAGAGATTTTAAAGTTAATTCATTATTTTAGTTTTTATGAAATTTTTTTTATCAAATATGTCATTTTTTACAAGAAAAAATAAGATATCACAAGATGGATTTATTAACTTTCAAAATCTCTAGCTAAAAAGAAAGATATTAATGCAAGTATCAATTTCAAATGTAAAACTGTGTGTATATAAGAGGTACATAGTGGTTTATTGAGCATTTTTATGTAGACTTACTTATTATGATTTAAATAGTATGAAGAATGTGTAAAAATACATTTATTTTTCCATGAACAAAAAATAAACTTATATTTCAACATATTAACACATTAAAACATTAAATTTTTGACCAATTAAGCCATGAACCTTGGTTACTAAACTGCATATTTTAGTGTAGAGTAAACCAAACATAAAAACATTCCAGTCAACACAACATTTAGTTTTAATAGCCATGCAAAAATTCTCGCTGAAAGATTGGTTTTAGGTTTAGAATCAGTACCGCAGAACTTAACATCACAAAAACAAACCATGTTTGATACTCTATTTTGATTATCAC